AGCAAAAAGTCGGGGTTTTCGCATGTTTAGGCTCAAATATCTCGAAAACCTGAGCCAATCGAGCAAAACTGATTCTGGATTCAGATTCAGCGCAACAAAAACCTTTAGAAAAGTATAAGCTAGTCCCAGGGTCTGAACTTTTTTTAAATTTTGTAGGCCTGTGTAATTATATTCACAATTTTATTGAGCTTGAGACCGTTTTTTATGAAAAACTATTAAAGAAAAGCAACAATAATTTTGATGGCTATTTCGGAAATCACCACATTTCGTCATCAGACTTCTTTCAGTGGGATTCAATCCAACGACCCCAGCTGACTCAGCCAGTTGCCTACGCACCGTGCTTAGTTCGCCTTGCAAATTCTTGTTGCTTTTTTCCCCTTTTTCATTTGTGAAGCCAACTATAATCAAGCGCAGCTATTCCAGTGCTATTTAAACTTGATCATGTGGTTGTTGGTTTTGTAGGTTTTTGTTAATAATTCTATGTTTAGAATGTTTATCTTTTAGGTGTGCTCGTCCTTAAGTTATTTGTTTTTGTTATTTTATGGCCTTATGACAATTATATTCAATAATTTTTATTGAGCTTTAGGTCGTATTTAATGAAAAACTATTGTAGAAAAGCAACAATAATTTTGACAGCTATTTCGGAAATCACCACATTTCCTCATCAGACTTCTTTCAGTGGGATCCAATCGAACGACCCCAGCTGACTCAGCCAGTTACCAACGCACCGTGCTAAGTTCGCCTTGTAAATTCTTGTTGCTTTTTCCACTATTTCTTTTGTTAAGCCAACTACAATTAAGCGCAGCTATTCCAGTGCTATTTAAACTTGATAATGTGGTTGTTGGATTTTGTTTATAATTATATTTTTAGAATGTCCAACTTTTAGGTGTGCTCGTCCTCAGGTTATTTGTTTTTGTTATTTATGGCCTCAGAACAATAATATTCAGCTGGGGTCTTTGGATCGAATCCCACTGAAAGAAGTCTGATAAGGAAATGTGGTGATTTCCGAAATAGCTATCACTTCTACCATTTTTTCAAATTATTGTTGCTTGTCCAGAATAAGTTTTTCATTAAAAAAACGGCCTCAATAAAAATTGTTGAATACAATTGTTATGAGGGCACAAAAAAAAAAAAAAAAACAAAGGGCAAATACACCTAAAAGTTAAACATTCTAAAAGAAAATTATTAGCAAAAACCAACAAAATCAACAACCACATGATCAAGTTTAAACAGTACTGGAATAGCTGCGCTTGATTGTAGTTGGCTTCACATATGAAAAAGTGGAAAAAAAGCACCAAGAACTTAGCACAGTGCATAGGCAACTGGCTGAGTCAGCTGGGGTCGTTCGATTGAATCCCACTGAAAGAAGTCTGATGGGGAAATGTGGTGATTTTCGAAATAACTATCACTTCTTCCATTTTTTTCAAAATTATTGTTGCTTTTCCATAATAGTTTTTCTTTAAAAACGGCATAAAGCCCAATAAAATTTTTTGAATATAATTCAATTCAAAAAAAAAAAACAAATAACCTAAGGACGAGTACACCTAAAAGTTAAACATTCTAAAAATAGAATTATTAGCAAAAACCAACAACCACATGATCAAGTTTAAATAGCACTGGAAGAGCTGCGCTTGATTATAGCTGGCTTCAAAAATGGAAAAGTGGAAAGAAGCAACAAGAATTCCCAAGGCGAACTTAGCATGGTGCGTAGGCAACTGGCTGAGTCATCTGGGGTCGTTGAATCGAATTCAGCTGAAAGAAGTCTGATGGGGAAATGTGGTGATTTCCGAAATAGCTATCACTTCTATAATTTTTTCAAAATTATTGTTGCTTTTCCACAATAGTTTTTCATTAAAAACTGCCTCACGCTCAATAAAAATTGTTGAACTAATTAATAAAATTAAAGTAAAATCTGTGGAAAATTACCAAAAAATACTTTCTTCTCCAAATCCATAAAGGACCCTTTTGTTAAACGAAACTGAGTAACAGTTGATTGTCGCCGCGCTGTACACTACTGCAATGAGAATAGATACATATGTATTTGAAATCATTGCAATATGATACTATTGCCAGTGCATATGTTTTTAGTCTCCCTTCATGGCCATATTTAAATAAACATGCATATTCATTTTGTCTCAGCTTTTTACGCGATCATGATGCTAAGTACAAGCGTTTGTGGTTTTTGTGGAATGTAAGCAATTGCGGTCAGGCTGCCGCTCTGCCTCCGTCAAATGGCGCCGAAATTTCACGTTGTGGTTGCATTGGTGGTTGCGCGTTCTTCGGCAGCAATCGGAATGGTTTAAAATTCTTCAAACCCTCCCCTCAAGATGTGCAGGACAACTACAACATAGCGCGCTATTAGTGAGTCAAATAGTTAAATCAGTTATGTAAAAATCTTTTTAACATGAACAAAAAAAATCGTTGCTCAGTATTATCAGTAACAACAAGGACTACGGTTTTGGTGAGAGCATATTACATCAAGGCCAACTGGTGTTTCACACTCCCCCTTACAGCGTACATTCGGTTTTGCTTCATGATAGCGCCGATTTCAACGGTAAAGGCAAGCATTATTGGCCAGCTGTTGAGCAGCGAAATGGCAGCCTAAAGAAATCCGAACTGTGCACTAAAGACGCAGGTGGAAAATTAAAAATTGGTAATTCCATTGAAATACCAGATGTAAATGGACGCAAATCTCGCGAGAATGTAGGTTCACCGAATACGCTGGAGAGACGGAATAAACGATACTCATATACTACAAACAGGTTAGTAGAATCGAATAGCACAAGCATTTACGGTTACATGTATTATTGTTTGTTTTACTTTAAACATCAGACAAACTTCTATCGAGGTACCTTACGCGCGACTTTTGGATAGTCCTTCGAAGAAAGTGTTACGTCAAGACTCGAACGAATCACAGGTGCAAGTAGCGTTGAGACGCGGCTCAGACGCAACGAAGTCAAAATCTCAGAACAATACGCTGCGTGTTTCACCACCCAAAACTAGTAAATCCGATTCGCGGTTAACCGGCGAAGCAGACGCTGAAGATGAGTTAGAGGTGAGTTATTTTATTAAAAAGTTCTATTAGTTAAAAATAACTGGCGTCGTTTTTTCTTAAGATCCCCGATGAAATGTCGCATTCTGCGCCGCTCTCACATCCGCTTGAATTCGAAATTGTCGATTTGCCTCTGCAGATGCAGCTCTCCACTGAAACATCTCTTACCAATGGAAGTGATAACTTGACCCGTGAAGTGCAGCGCACGATTTCCCTCACTTCGGAGAACCCCTCAGAGATGTTTTTCTCAGCCGAGGAGGATATATCGAATATTATGTCGCAAGGTGGTTCCATAAAAAATCGCAATGGCTCAATTGTGTTCTCTGGCAAGAAACGATTCTCCTCCGATCTAAGGTATACGAAGTGCTTCTTATCAAAATTAAAAAAAAAAAAAACGGTCTTCATTACTATTTTAGTATCGGTGCACCAAATGAAAATGGACTGTCATTATCCACCTTCCGCAGTGATTTGGAAATCCATGCCCCTGAGTCTAAAACATTGCCGAAACGTCCTCAAAGCACGACTGAATTGGTATGCTTAAGATTAGTGGTGAACGCGTTTTTCACGAAAAAAATTTATTCTAACATACATACACCATTCTCACTTGATTTAGTATTGCAGCTTTCAAGCATTTTTCTCATTGTTTTTATATTAATCAGATTTATCTTCTAAAGCAGTTGAAACGTCAATATTCAATTCAGTCACAACCAGGGTTCGGAAATTCTCATTTATGATTATTCGTTTTCATTCATTTATGAGATTTATCGCGATCGATAATATTCCAAATCAATTTTTGCATTCTTTATCGCGAGTGAAAAATGTAAACAAACTTATCATCTCTCACATTCGGAATGCGATCGACAAAAAAATGTCCGCTGCTTTCATTCGCGATCGAAAAAAGGAAAGAAATTTCCTCTCACTCGAATATGAGAAGTCCGAGCATTGCCGATTTCGGCCTCTCGTAAATGAGAAAAACGATGCAAATAATCCATTCGCGATCACTCACCACAGCTTATCGCGATAAACTTATCGCGAAAAATTTTCAACGACGTTGTATGGGAGATATTTTTCGCGTTTGTTTTGGGTATGCATTTTGTTATGCATACTGCATACATACATATGTATATGTTAGTATGCATTTCTTAAGCAAATGGTTTTCGGTTGAAAGGAATGTAGGAATATGCACAAATATATGAATTATGGTGGTAATATATGTATATGTATGTACATATAAATTACAACCATGCATACGTGTAGTTAAAGTATATTCCAAGCGTACACTTTTCAGTACAATGATGTATCTGCATGTTATTTTATTATAATGATTGCGCTTATTTATTATATGAGAAAAGTGGGCGTCTGGTGAAGACTGAGAGTAAAGAAAAGCAGAAAAAACAATACATATACATTTTTTATTTCTTTTAAATGTTTTGGTTTGCCATTATAAGGATATTAATAAGAAACCAAAAATATACACACGTAAATAGAATAAGAAATTGTTTGTATGGGTGAATGTATTACTTAGAAGCAAACTCAATAAAACGAAGGTCTGCATTTCATATCCATGCACACATACATATGTATGTGTAGGGTTAAGGACTACTACATTATTCGTCTCGCTAAGATGGCAACTCTATAAACTTTGAACAAATAATTAATTAAACATACCTTTGCTTGTTGCATACATTTCCTGGTATATATTTTTCTAATCCTTTTTCGTGCAACATCTTCGATTTGTAATTCGACATTTTCATTATATCAAATAAATTTAAGAATATAGAAAACGACTTCTATAACTGGTGACCCCGACGATGAATATGGTCAGCGAAGGAGAAGACAGATTTATGGATGCAGAAAACATGCTGCATTTGGGGCGCCTTGCTGTTAAACCGCCGCCGTTTTGGAAACCTGATCCACGTCTGTGGTTTGCTCAGGTGGAAGCGCAATTTGCGCGCTGGTATCGCGACAGACGATATTAAGTATTACACTGTTGTCGCCGAAATTGATTCGGCGATCTTAATGCACGCCAGCGATATTATTGCATCTCCCCCAACTACAGGCAAGTACGAAGCGTTAAAGGAGAGACTACTAACTGAATTTGGTGAGTCGACAGAGAAAAGACTTAAGCGACTTTTTGAGTCATGCGAATTAAATGACAAGAAACCGACTACGTTACTACGAAAGATGAAAGATTTGGCACATAATCGATTGGATAAGAGTATACTGAAGTCAATTTGGTTGCGGCGTTTGCCTCTGCAGGTGCAACAAATCTTAACGACATTGGATGAGGATGTAGAAGTGTTGGCGAAAAGAGCCGACAGCATAATGGAGGTAACTACTACCAACGTAGTGAATGCGGTAAACGCGTCTAACAACAGCAACGTGGAGGTTGCCACTATTGCTGACCTTGAATACAGGCTGGACAGACTCGAGCAAAACAACCGTAATAGATTCCAACGCATGAGACAAGTGGAGCGAAACAGCGCTCCTCGCTTACGGCCGACCACAACTGTACGAGGGGGTTCTGAACAAGTGGCTAGAGATGATATATGTTGGTACCACCGTACCTTCGGTGATCGAGCCACTAGATGCAGGTCACCTTGCCGTTTTACGCAAACACGTTCGGAAAACTAGTTAGCCCTCCGTTCAAAGCGGCTACAACGGAGGCTAATCCGTTTTCCAGCCGTCTCTACATACACGACAAAGCTTCATCGTTCAAATTTTTAATTGATACTGGGGCCGAGGTTTCCGTCGTACCCAGACGTCGCAATGATCAGGTGCAACCTTCTTCGATCAAGTTGGTCGCCGCCAACAATACTCAGATCGATACTTATGGGAGGAGGAGTATAACGTTAGATTTGGGATTCGACCGAAAATTTTTTCATCGTCGCCGATGTATCATACCCGATTATTGGCCCGGATTTCCTCCAACAATTTGACATACTCGTGGACATGAAAAATAAGGCGATTATCGATCGGTCGACTAACTCACAAATTGGTTGCCTTATGACAGAACTTCCGCAAAACATCACTACGTTAAAATGTTCAAACATTTTTCACGAACTTTTATCGCGCTTTGTAGACCTCACTGAGGATAAAACGCCCGGAGGTACGCTATGTAACGTTCATCATTTCATAGAAACCAAAGGGGCCCCGGTGGTACAGAAGGTACGTCGACTCTCACCGGAGAAATTGAAAATAGCTAAACAGGAGTTTCAGTACCTGTCGGAGAAAGGTATTTGTCAACGCTCAAAAAGCCAGTGGGCTAGCCCGTTGCACATGGTGCAGAAAGCCAACGGATCTTGGCGCCCATGTGGGGACTACCGCAAGCTTAACGCGACAACCATTCCGGATAAGTACCCTATACGCCATATGCAAGATTTTTTTTGGAGATTTACACGGCAGAACGATTTTTGTCATTGACTGTAAAAAAGCATATCACCAAATCCCGGTGCATCCAAAGGACGTCCCGAAGACCGCGATTTTGACACCGTTTGGACTCTTTGAGTTCAAATACATGACGGTAGAATTCTTGGGCCATTTGGTATCGCGGAGAGGCATAGCACCCTTACCACGCAAGGTTCAGGGGATTCTCGACTTGAAGAAGCCAACGGAGGTGCACGAGCTCAGACGGTTTCTCGGCGCAGTAAATTTTTATCGGCGATTTCTACCACATGCTGCAACTGTCGAAGCGCAGTTCCAAAAGATGATGGGTCCGTGCAGAAAACGTGACAGGACGAAGTTAGAGTGGTCACCCGCCTCTGAACAAGCTTTTGAAGAGCTCAAAACACAACTCGCAAAAGAGGCGTTAATTACATTCCCGGTAAGGGGAGCCACCATCGCGTTGTCGACAGACGCTTCCGACGTTGCAATGGGCGCCGCACTTCAACAGTTAACTGATGGCCAGTGGAAACCGCTGGGTTTTTTTTTCCCAAAAGTTCACGGAAACCGAAAGAAGGTACAGTACGTACGACCGCGAGCTGCTGGCGATACACAGGGCAATTCGGCACTTCCGATATTTTTTGGAAGGGACTCAATTTATCATCTTCACGGATCACAAGCCGCTGATTCAAGCATTCGAGCAGAGTTGGGAAAAGTTATCCCCACGACAGACAAGACAATTGAATTTTATCAGTCAGTTTTCTACGGACATACGACACATCAGCGGAGCAAACAACCTTGTAGCGGACATGCTGTCGAGAATCGAGACATTTGCAGCTCCTTCACCATTAGACTTAAAGCTACTCCATGACGAGCAAGAAGCGAGCGAGGAATTGAGAAAATTACTCAATGATGGTCAAACTTCTTTACATTTGGTCAAATACAAACATTCAGGCACAGGAATCGAAATCTTCTGCGACGATTCGACCGGGAAGATAAGACCATACGTTCCAAAAACTCTTCGCCAAGTGGTTTTCGACGCCACGCACGGCCTCGCGCACCCAGGAGCAAGAGCAACGACCAGGCTAATAACAAGTAGTTTCGTATGGAAGGGGGTAAGTGCAGACGTACGAGCACGCGTCCGCAGTTGTCCTGCATGTCAGCGATGCAAAATTGCACGACATACGAAGGGTGCATTGGAGACCTTTGCAGTGCCGAGTAGGCGTTTCGAACATGTCAATGTAGACATTGTTGGGCCGTTCCCTGTGTCATGAGGCTATACGTACTGCCTGACCTGTGTTGATAGGTTCTCGAGGTGGATTGAAGTTTTCCCACTCACCGACATGATGGCTGAAACGGTTGCGAGGGAGCTACTCAACGGGTGGATCAGTAGATTCGGAGTACCCAAGTTCATCACTACGGATCAGGGCAGACAATTTGAAAGCAGCCTTTTCCGCGAGCTGGCAAAGTTATTGGGTGCCAAGCACATCCACACTACAAGCTATCACCCACAGTCAAATGGCATATTAGAGAGATGGCATCGGGTGTTAAAAGCTGCGTTGAGGTGTCACACGGCCGGCGTTAATTGGGTGGACATTTTGCCAATCGTCCTTCTAGGGCTACGTTCAGCTGTCAAAGAGGACCTTGGGGTTTCCATAGCCGAGATGCTTTATGGACAGCCTATACGACTCCCCAGCGAATTCTTCGAAAGCCCAAAGGAAACACCAGCAGATGAGCACAGTTTCTTACAGAACATCAAACAACATTTTGAACGATTAAGGCCAACGCAAACATCACAACATGGAAGGTCTGCTGTTTTCGTCCCTAAGGATCTTCGCTTCTGTAGCCATGTGTTTTTGCGGGACGATACCATTCACAAACCCGCCGTATGACGGTCCATATTTAGTGGTCAACAGGTTTCCGAAGACGTACACCATTCTGATTGGAACAAAGCAGGTTACTGTTTCGATTGATAGGCTCAAGCCGGCCTATTTTCCGAGGGAAGAAGTCGATACTGGGACTTTGCAGCAATTACCTTTTGCTGTTTTAGGAAGAGGAGTGATGTAGGGTTAAGGGCTACTACATTATTCGTCTCGCTAAGATGGCAACTCTATAAACTTTGAAGAAATAATTAATTAAACATACCTTTG